GCAGAGTTATTTAAATGGTTTGGCGAAATTTCTGTCAGATCCCGCCGGCGGGACCGCCGACCCCAGAGGAATTTAATATTCTAATCTAATCAGTTAACGGTAAATGTTCGGATAACAAACGCCGGTTGTCGGTTGGGAAAATTAATCGAAATGAGCATCCCTAGTTCCTGATGAATATGCGTATCAGATCCCTATTTTCTGTGTTCCTTCAGATGAATGTGCTTATGGGATCCCTGTTCTCTGTGTTCCTTCAGATGAATATGCATAACAGATCCCTGTTCTCTGTGTTCCTTCAGATGAATATGCGTATTGGATCCCTGTTCCCTGTGTTCCGTCAGATGATTGTGCATGTCGGATCCCTGTTCTCTGTTTTCCTTCAGACGAATGTTCTTATCGGATCCCTGTTCCCTGTGTTCCATCAGATGATTGTATGTATCGGATCCCTGTTCCCTGTGTTCCTTCAGACGAATGTGCTTCTCGGATCCCTGTTCCCTGTGTTCCTTCAGACGAATGTGCTTCTCGGATCCCTGTTCCCTGTGTTCCATGCACAGCAGACAGACCCACCTTTCCCCTCCTCGCTCAGGCTCTCCTGGCTGGGTGTTGAGCTGCCACCCTCCTCCCACATGATGGAAGCGGTGCCCTGAGAGCGGAAGCGCTCACGCAGGGCCACGTGCTGGTCCCCGGGGCTGAAGGACTGCGAGACGCCCCGGCCCAGGCCCCAGCCGTGCCGCGAGCCCAGCTTACGGCGAGCTGAGCGAGCGACTCCCCGTGGCTGGTCGTCGGCCTCGCCAGGGGCCCCCCGCAGGATCATGGGGGAGCCAGGGGCACTCATGGGGTCCACAGCTGGGGAATACAAGCCAGAGAGGGAATAAGAAAGAGGTAGTGAAGGGGTAGAGCGGGAGGCAGGGCATTTAGGGCATTTTCAGAGTATTGGCTGAGCTACAGAACTTATGTAGGAGTTATAATATGTTTGGTACATCATCATTTCCCCCCATTTTCTCCCTTATTTGGAACAGTCCAATTTCTATTCATTGGGCTTCCAGACAACTGAAAACTTAAATGACTTTAGCATCAATCTCACTTCTAAGAGTCACGGGGAGGAGCACATCATACCCTTAAGTGAGGGGCTGACCATTGATTTTACCTTCAATAACCAGGTCCTGTAGTTATGAACTTTACCATTGTATTACGGGATATACCCTCAGATAATGCGTGTGGCGTGGCACAGCCGCTCACCAGGCGCTTGGGCTGAAGTTGGTAAACATTCACTGATCTCGGTCAGGTTCTCCATGCTCCCAGCAGCAATGAACTGAGCTCTGCCTTCTCTGACCTCCTTCACAGCACGAGGTTTAATAAGCTTCTTCATCCTGTCTGCTATCCAGTTGCTCTTCCTACAGGGGGCGACAGAGAGAGAGAGAATTTGACGTTCTGTATTGTTTCTTACTAAAAACGCCTTGAAATAATGAACAAAGCAGCACAGAGAGCTTGTCAGGCAGCGTGAGGAGTGCAGCTTGTGTTGATGCTCCAGCTCTGATGGAGGGTAAGTATGTGGGTTAAGACGCTATGTCTGTGATAGGAAGGTCGCCGGTTCAAATCCCAAGGTCAACAGAGTGATTTCACCATAGGGGCCCCTGAGTGAGGCCCTAACCCTCCAACGGCTCCTGGGACTGGCTGACCCCACCTTCGCTTTGGATAAAAGCTGAAGTTGGTAAACATTCACTGATCTCGGTCAGGTTCTCCAGGTTCTCTAAATAAACGTGCTGTGTTCTGATTCTTGCTCTTAACGTCCTAAGATATTTGGCCCGTCTCGCAGGCTATTTAAGGGGATTTTCAAGGCTGAATTATTTCACTGGTACAAAATGGGTTGACTAAATAACGTATTTGAGTTGGGATTCAGGCTGAGGCTAGGTCAGTCTGGATGCTGATTGGATGAGCCCTGATCGCAGGCATAGTAAAGGGTGGATAATCACTGACTTGGCTTTGTTGGGCACCGGCAGAGAAGGTTCCAGGACTCGGTACTGATCCATTATCTTCTCCACCAGCTTTTGTTTTTCTCGGCGCAACTCGTTCAACTTGTCGCTGAGAGGAAACAGAAAGGGAGGGAACACGGAGATGACAGGCGTGATGAACCATATTAAGCAAGTCAGAACCATTTTTCTGCTCATTACAGCTGACCAATCAGCAGCAGCCTCCTTCGCGCAATCAGTAATCATCATTAAAGCCTTCATCCTTGTAATCTTAAGTCACCTGCTGCCCTTGCACAAGTCTGATAAAAAAAAAAATATGTATGCAGGCTTTATCGACTTCTTTACTTATCTGCTTGTGAAACTCATTTGTATAACCTTGAGAAGAGCCATATTCTAGAAATGGTGTCTGAGAGTATATACAGTATTTATGTTCAGCAATGACACATCACTTAGAACATAGTACTAAACACACTTAATAACATGTACATGTAATAATATTCATACTGAACAGATGTCCTGTGTGTGTATATTGTATATCATACATTTTTAGAACCATTGGGAAAACACTGGGTTGGGAAACACTGGGTTATGGTGCAGGAAAGCCTGTGTAGACACCGCCCTGCCACTAGGGGTCCCTGACTTCCCAGTGCCATGCACTGTACACATACGTATATTCCCTCTGCTGCTGGTGGTGCTGGTCCCGGCTCTCCAGACTCCGCTCCAGCAACGCTCGATTTTCTCGGGCCAGGCTCTGGTTCTGCTCCACCAGATGCCGGGTCTCTTCCTCCAGGTTTCCCTTCAGTTGGGTCAGCAGCTAGCAGACAGAGAAACACACATGAGCCCTGTGCTGCCCAGGACAGGTTCCGGGCTCTCCCACTATCCTCAGCAGAATAAGTCTTCAGAACAGTACTTCCCAATCCAGTCCTCGGAAACTCACAGACAGCCCACATTTTTGCTCCCTCCCATCAACCTGCCAGACAGCCAACTTTTTTGCTCCCTCCCATCAACCTGCCAGACAGCCCACATTTTTGCTCCCCATCGGGAGCTGGGAGGAAGTAAAAACATGGACTGTCTGCAGGTCCTAGTTACAATTGCAACCAGTGTTTTCACAGACAAATATTTCAAAGTTTCGTTTCCAAGAGACAACGAGACGGACCCACGGAAAGCAGCACCTTCACCACTGTACTGCTGAAACCCTGACCTGGTACTGGCTGGTGAGGCGGGTGTTGTCCAGGTCCAGCTGCTGGTTCTGTTCCCTCAGCAGGCTGAGCTCTCCTTCCAGCCGGGTCCGCTCCAGCTGCGCGGCACTGAGCTCCCCCCGCAGGACCGAGCCCTGGGACAGCAGCTCTGACTGCACCTGTCCAGACTCCTTTTGTTGGCTGTGTAGCCTGTGGGGAGCACATGGGGACCGCGGCCCTGTCAGGACCGGCCCAGGAGGATCGCCGCTCCAGTGCCTCCCAGACAAACTGATTTCTTCTGCTTTACTCATTGGTAAAACCCTACAGAAGTTCTGAAGCCATCAGTAGGCATATTCCCATTCTATTTTCTCCTTATCTTCAGCTAGACAGTCATACTGAATCTATCACAACTCCACTTATAAGGTAAGGAGGGACTGACAGGAAATTCAACAGTTTAGAGCCCCACCCACTCTGACTCAATTTCACTCTGCAGATCACATGCTGTAGTGCAAGGGGGTAAGCACTGATTAGAGGGAAGACATAACCTTCACCAATAACACATAATATACAAGCACCAAAAAGGCATTTGTCTTCCAATATGCTCTGGCTAGTTCATCCCTCCCACCACCAGGGGGCTCCCAATTACTGTCAGTGACACAAGCCAGACAAAAACTGAGGTTTAATTGGACTTTTTTTGAAACTAAAGCTTAGATCCCTCCTACTCAAATCTGTTCCAGGCCTTGTTTTCCAAATCCAGGCCGTGTTTTCAGTTCTCCCAGGTAGTTAGTTTAATAATTACTGATTCTGATTGGCCAGAGGCTTCACACCTGACTCACAGGTAAAGGAAGGCTGGAAAATCAGCAGGATTTGGACCTCGAGGAGCCTGATTTGAATGGCTCTGCCTTAAGTGTTACATCCACTAGCAATTAAAAGTTGAAAATAGCATAAAAGGGACGTTTGCACAAATAAAAATAATAAATAATAATTGATCTTATTATGATAATAAATGACCTTATCACATATATTCTTTACCACAACCACGTCTGGCATTGTATTGCTGCTTATAGGACCCCAAAATGGAGAAATATAAAATAAAAATAACCACTTACAGTAATATGTCATACAAATTGTTTGATGTTTATTTTACTTGTTAATTGTGCATATCATTTACCCATTTTGTATAGCATTGCCTATCCCTAGAAGCAGCAGGCACAGAACCAGGGGTGGATGATTTTATCTGGGGGCCCTAGGCTGGCATCAGCATGGACACTCGGATGTTGCCGATCTAACTGGGATTTTTCCCCGGGGGGGAGCGGAGCCCTGATGTTTGCCAGGTCATTAGGCTGTATCCTAGGGTAGTCTATGCGTTAATCCAGCCCTGCAGAGAACACTGGATGGGATCCCAGTGCAGCACAGGAAACATACAATCGATCCCACAAACGCAGTGGCATGTGGCCCCAGTGGTCCCCAGTGAGGCACCCTGCCTCGCCCCGTGGAAAGCATCACCCCGCCCCCAGAGGCAGCCCCTGTCACCGGTACCCAGGAGCACTCACCTCTCATTCTCTTCTCTCAGCCTCTCTGCCTCTTTCACCCTCTCGGCCTGCGCCTGTCTCTCTTTTTCCATCTTCTCTCTTTCCACCCGTATGACCTCCTCTCTCTCTTCCAGAAGGGTCTTGCGGTCCAGCAGCTCCTTGTACCTGATGAAAACATAACGTCACAGTGCTGTTTGCATGCTGGGCGACACAACTCACTCAAGGGGCTCCAGGCTTCCACGCCCCCATCCCTTTGCATGCAGAACTTACACGCTCTACGTGTGTGTGCTGCCCCACGAATGAAGACATGGTGTTCAGTGCAAACGACTCTGTGTGTGTGTATATGTGTGTGTGTGTGATTATGAAGGTCTCTTCAAGGTGCAGCCTAATCTAAAAATGTTTATGGAAAATAGATGCATATTATATACTTCACATTACTGGATTATGAGGGACCATTGCAGTGGGTTCATAACAATGTTTACAACTGCATAAATTGTTTATAACAATTCATAGTAAAACTCCTGATTTAGGGATGACAGCTTTATTTCCAGTTTCTGCCATGCTGTTTATACTCAGGGTCTGTGAAAATGACATCACATGGCTGCTGTCTTAATGAGCTGTGTGTGAGGTCTCACTGGGCATGGCCGCCGGTGTCGCTGTAATTACCGTCCTTCCAGCTCCCGGTGCTGAGCCTCAAGGTTCCGCATGCTGCCCTTCAGCTGGCTGTGCTTGGAGAGCAGGACCTCCAGTTCAACCTCCTGCCGCTGCTGCAGGGCGGTCAGGCGCTCGTGGTCACACCTCAGGCCCTCGCCGCGCAGCATCACTTCCTCCCGGTCCTTCGCCCAGACCCTGGCCTCCGCCTCTAGGGTGGCGACACGGGCCTCGCTCTCGCTGCAGCGGGACCAGAGCGATGCATGCTGGGAGCTCAGTGACGCCTGCTCCGTCTGTTATAGAGCAAGGGGTGAGGTGGTGAGGGACGCATAGCGGTCAGTGCAGCGGTTTAACCACAGAGATGAGAACTGTTTCGCCTGCAGAACGACCCTGTGGCGACAAGCAGGTCAGAGCTGAAGGTTTAACAGCATGCAGCCATTTTCCTGAGAACTCTCAGCTGGTGTCTGTAGGCCATTAAAATCATATGACTACATACTATAGACCACATGCTTTTTAAATATATATATATACACACACACCCACATATATACACACACGCACATTTATATATACACACATATATGTGTGTGTGCATAGATAGATAGATAGATAGATAGATAGATAGATAGATAGAAAAGCAATACGCAAGCTGACAAAAATTGTCATCAGTATACTTCAAAAAATTAGAAAATAAAGATAGAAAGTATTACTGCATCCACAGGATGATACAAATGCTGTAGCAGGAAAGCAGAGCTGTACAGTAATAAGTAGGGGTGCACCGATTGCAGTTTTCTGGCCGATCAACGATCACCGATCCTTAGACAAC